TTAAATTCTCTTATCCACTATATTTTCACGTTTTTCTTGCTATCATTTTTCCACCTATTTTTCTTTGATTTACCAATATTGGTGCACCCGATTGGCCTCAAGAATTTTGTTGTAATTGAAAATATATATTCTAATCTTTTTATAATAAATCATAAATCACTTTCCAAGAAAACTACATCATTCTTCGTCTGCCACATGTCCTAAGTCTTAAATTATGATGTTTCTTTGTTCATTTCTTCAATTTTAGAAATAAAAAGAGCAAAAATTAACTAATTTTTCTTGTCCATCTTTTTTTCACATTTTTCTGCTACCATCTTTTCCACCTCTTTTTTATTTATTTACCATTACTGGTGCATACCAAAATTTATCATCCAATTCGCACTCAACAAAGACAAAATTTTATTTAAAAGAGATTATAATTATCCTTTTATAATAAATCACAAGTTTTGACAAAAAAATTTCTTATTATACTAAATCACAAGTTTCTATAACAAAACAAATAACTTGCTTCTAGAAATCCCTAAAATTACTCACCCACCACACACCACGTTTATAGTCACACGACATTTGAAACTAAACTCACGATTTTTAAAATGCTTAATCTTCCTCATAAAAAATTAATTTCATGAACGGTTACGCAATCTCGCCTTCCTCTCGCTCTCACTTTCTCTCCATCGTTTTTTTTCCTTTTCTTTTTCTCATTTTCTCAAATTCATATGCTCTCAACCAATACATAAAGTCTACGATTTGCCTAGAATCTTCAAAGCAATCATGTCATGAATCAAAGAGACGAAACTCTGATTTGCCTAGAATCTTCTCGTGTTTTTTTTCATTGGTTTGAGATTGCACGACCGAGTGAGGGGAGTGAATCAATGGGGGAGGGAATGAGGAATGTGGCGGAGAGGTAAACGAAGACTACGTCAGAGACAAAGAAGACGGTGGAGCCAAGGATATCACCTTCGGTCCACGTGAATTTTGCTATGTAGGTGAGGGTGGAGCACAATGATGCCATTTGGAGTAACTCAAGTTTTGAGGACACGAGAGAGAGAGGCGATGCCATTTTTCTTCATCAATGAAAACACATGTCATAGCGTAAACAAGTGCCATTATGTCGTGAATCTTGGTACATGGAGTAAACCGATGTCATTCACTTTTCAATTTCTGAAATAGCAAATTCCTATTTCTCTATATATATATACATTTATTTTTTAAACGTGTGATAGGCCATCGGGAGAGTGGACTGGAACACAAGGCAACTTCTCTTCTCATTCTATTCGTAAGAGGTATAACTTATTTTGATACTATATTCTAGCTTTTTTCTTTGTCGTTTTTTCATTCAAGCCATCATCATTGCTAATGATTCTTTTTCATGGTCTCTTTTAGGGGAAAAAAAAGTTTTTGAGATAGTACAGTCTAATGGAAGCTAATGTGCAAAAGATATTACGGTCAACTTTAAAATGGTAGACCTAAGTTTTCAAGTTTAGCCTACTTCATTGTAAGAATAAACAATAACATGTGTTTTGGTTCTTTTGGAGCTGGCATCATAATTTGGTATTAAATTAATTTGTGTGTTTTCATCGATATCATTAAACATTTCTCTTTACGTTTTTTCAAACAAAAAAATGTTTTATCATTAATATCCTAAGTGATTGTTAACAAAAAAAACATAAGTTGGGTAGTAAACATTTTTTAGTTGAGAGTCTTTTTGTTAGAGAAATAATATTTCTTTATATAAAAAAATATTGTTTCTGATTCTTTTCATACGTGAATGCTTTTTTATACATTAAAAACATATGCTCTTATCATTACTTCTAATGAACATAAACATAACACGTCTGATGTGCTAGATACTCCATATGATAGAAAAAAAGATTGGCGAACTTTGAATTAAAAATTGAAGAGAAGGTTCAAATGGTTGCTAAGATCAACAAATCAATTTTAGCACCCATCTGTATTATCTTCATTTTCTCGAACTCTGTTTAACTTCACATTTGCAAACTAATTCAATGTTTCTCTTTTGATTTAAAAATATCTTTTTAACATTTTTAAAGAAATTATAATCTATCATTATTTAATAAATTTTTTTTTGCAATAGATTTGTTTCTCAAAGTTGTGAAAAAATTTAATAGTTTTCTTATAAAGAATTTAGAGATTAGTATTTAGATTTTATGGCCATATCCTAAGCTGCAT